GATACGGGGACGGAGATCACTGTGTTGCGGGAGAGAGCGATCCCACCGGAGATGGTGAAGCCGCAAGGCACTATCAACTTATAATCTGCGTTCGGTGGTACAGTGAAGGCGAAGCTCGTGGTGGTCCCCTTGACGATGGGTAGCAAAAGCGGCGTTAGCACAGACTTAAATAAGTTGGTTCCCGTTCTTTGCATGGCAACTGACCGACTGATAGCACGAGCGGATTGCCTGTTGTTAGGAAAACCGTGGAAATTGCTTAAAGATCGGTGGGCTTCAGAGAGCATATTCAAAGGCGGGGAGGAGACAGGCAGCATACAGCTGACGCCGAAAAGTGGCCCGTTGAACACGGGCAAAGTGCAGCAGTTACAATTCGAGAGCCCTGAAATCCAGAGAAAAACCGCGACAATAAAGGGTATGATCACCTATGTTATAGGGAGCGGGGACGTCGACAAACCACAAGGCAGCCACGCATCACCCGATGGATCGCAAGCAGCTGCCAGGAAAGATACAAGCGCACCCGAGGAGTTTTGCGAATAGAAGCATGCCAAGGTAAAACGGCAGATAGCCGAGGAGGGCGCGGGAGCGGAAGGCATTAGAGAGTTTTGGTGCTGGGTACCCAAGCGGCTTGCGTACCCAGGACGATGGGGCGGCGGTATTACGCATGCGCGAAACCCCAAACAGATGCGTCGCGAGATCACTGGGGTGATGGGGCCATGCGTTCGCGTGGCATAAAACAACGCTGCCACCACTGGCCTCCTAGCGGAGATAAGCTGCCCTTGCGCACATGCTGGCGCATCATGTTAATCGGGATGTCACTCACCTTTACGGTGAGCCACAGTTCACACTCACCTTCACCGGTGGTGGATCAATAGTGATTAAATTGTTTCAGCCAGATTACCAGACCTCGAATGGCCTAAAATATAGAAACCAAGAACGTGCGAGCCCCCAACCAGCTGAATAGGTGGCACCATTTAGCGGGGCCATGGTGAACCAGGCAGTCACAAAACTGTTATTGCAGAAACATTGTTCATTGCACGCGTCGTGCGAAAACTGCGTGGTGGCGTTATTACAACTGAGTTACTTTTTTAATCATTTCACCTCGGAAACATTACGCGTAAGCCAGCGTGTTCATGAATGTGGTTGGACGAAGTGTCACAAGATGTGGACACCATCGTTACAGTAACCTTGTTTTTTTTTCACCTTTTTGCCTATACCAGTATACTGTACGCGATAAAAACAAAAGTCTCGTGATTTTGCCGCAACGGTGATTCAAAAATATGTAAGGTCAATGCAGTTAGCATCACCATTAATTTTTTGCGAGAACGTAAAGGTATACACGTTTACGTACGTACGTAAACGTTTACTAAAACTTGTAGCTGGGCGAGTTGGTTCATAATACTGGGTAAACTGGTGTGCGCACAAAAAAACAGACAAACGACAGCAGAGAAGAGACAGGGACAAGCGCAGAAAACTGCGCTTGTCCCTGTCTCTTCTCTGCTGTCGTTTGTCTGTTTTTTTGTGCGCACACCAGTTTACCCAGTAAACGTTTACGTATGAGGAGCTCAAAACGTTCGAAGACATGCGTTTCGGTAGGAAGGTAAACGTAAACCGGTAACAGGTAACACGTTGAAGTAAAGAAGTATACGTACAAGGTAAAAGTTTCCCATAGAGCCGATTCTCGGGAGACGATAATCCCGGCGTGAGGACGTCCGTTCTGGTAAGAATATCGTGGTTGGTCGCCACTTTTGACAACCAGCTAGGTGGCCCCCGGCCAGCGAAGTGCCAGCGGGTGACTTGAAGACATCCGGTGTATTAGCACCCATCCATTCGGATTAGAGTACGCGGGGCGGCTTTCACGTTGGAAAGCATAGTCATCTCGCAGTAATGGTGGAGGGCCCACGGCCGAACGGTGTCACCACTGTGTGCGTTCTCACAGTTCGCGGAACGTAGTGTGCAGGCTGGTCCTTTCGTCTCTCTCTCTGACCAACAGGTCGAGAGCTTGAATAAGAGAGAAGAGAGGACGGCAACAAATGTGCTTAATCTGTTCAATAAAAGGACTGAATTGTATTGGTTGGCCGTGAAGAGAATTGGAAGGGGCAACCGAGGGGTTTAAACCTGTCTCCTATTTCTTCACTGTCGTTCTGGTCGCAGGAAAGAGTGCTCTGCTCAAAGAATCAGAGAGAGTGGGTAGAAGGCCGATATATATATATATATATATATATATATATATATATATATATATATATATATATATATATATATATATATATTGTTAAGGCGTTTATTAGCCGGCAACCAGCGATCATACGCTATGATGACAGTGACGGTCAAGCACGGCCTCCCAGCGCGAGCAACGTCTTTGTTGGGTAGCCCCACTAGAAGGTACTCAAGAGTTTGACCCATTTCAGAGTTCGGTGGCTTCGCTACAGTTACCTCGGGGTCGAAGAGGGAGCCGCCTGGTAACGTAACAGTTTGTTACAATGAGCGGGTCATAATAAATAAGCTTTCAGGCGCTTCACGTTGGCGATCTAGCACCCGCAGTGGCACATGTCCGCAGATTGTTCGACGGGTTCCATCATATAGTTGACCGGAGATCTGGCCTCTATGACACGGTAGGGGTCTTCATATTTCGGAAGTAGTTTGGAAGAGAGGCCAGCTACGCAGGTCAGGATCGAGGGCCATACAAGCGCACCAAGAAAGAACGCGAGCTCAAAAGTGGTGGAGCCGTTACGAATACACTTCTGCCGCTCTTGCTCATGCGTCGTAAAAGTCCTTGCAAACTCGCAACACTGTTCAGCAAGCCTGGTTGTCTCTGAAATAGGTGCACACTCAGATAAATCCGGCGTGTACGGGAGTATCGTGTTGATGGTGTGCGACGGGTGCCTTCCGTACAGCGACAAGAAAGGTGAAAAACCAGTCGTGCTGTGAGAGGCAGTGTTGTAGGCGTAGGTGACAAAGCGCGGTATATTATCTTAATTTGTGTGGTTGGCGGCGATGTATATCGAAAGCATGTCGCCGAGGGTGCGGTTAAAGCGTTCGGCGAGGCCATTCGTCTGTGGGCGGTAAGCATTAGTTTTGCGGTGGACAGAATTGCACTCCGTCAGAATGGCTTCGACGATTTCTGACAAGAAGACACGGCCTCCATCAGTGAGAAGCTCTTGGGGTGGTCCGTGGCGCAGTATGATCCGTGGCACAGTATGACGCAGCAGGAAGGACGCAACATCGCGCGCAGTAGCCGCTGGGAGAGCGGTGGTTTCGGCGTATCGCATTAAATGGTGTACGGCAACGATGACCCAGTGGTTACCAGCTGACGTCAGTGGAAGAGGTTCATACAAATATACCTACACGCCCAAACAGATGGTCAGGGCAAGGTAAAGGTTGCAGACCGGCATGCGACATGTGTGCTGGTGGTTGGCAGCGTTGGCAAGCGAGGCAAGAGCGTACGAACTGCTGTAGAGGTTCTTGAAAGGGAAAAGAGAAGAGAAAAGCGCGGAGCTGTTATTGTCTTTCAACACGAAGGCACCGACACTGGCCTGCGCAGGGATGGGAAGGGGGAGGTAAAAAAGGAGGAGAAAATTATGGGAGGAGGAAGGGCGCATTCAACTGTGTCACGCGGGGTACGCGCTGCCACCGGGAAAGAGAAAGCAGTCAGGCAAGCCAGCACGGGAGGAGAATGGGAGCACCACGTGACGAGCATCAGTGGAGGCGGGCGGAGCCACAGACGTAAACAAACAACACGTTGATGCGGGCCTCGCTAGAGGCACCTGATCAGATCGGCGTCACCGAAGAACTCAAGTGGGGCCTCGAAGGCCCGCATAAGCCGAGAGCGGTGGGCCTGGGGAAACCGGAGGTGGTCGAGGCTCACGTATTGCAGCCCCAGACGTTCATAGGCGTCGAAGAGCCGCTGGCGTTGTTCAATGTATCCAGGGCACTCCAGAAGGATGTGTTCGGTCGTCTCCACCGCGAGGCATTTGGCACACGAAGGGCTCCCACTGTTGGTGAAGCGAAATCGCCTCTCAGCGGTGCGGAAACATTCGGTGCGAAGCCAAAGCAGGAAGGCCCGCGCATGCCTGCTGATGCCGGTCTTCGGCAGCGGTCGCGGGGGGTTTCCTGTAGCCACACGTGAGTGTGGGTGTAAAGCACGCACTTGGCGCGCAATACGAAGGTCGCAACATCTTCCGCGCGGATGAACGCTGAGACGGGTGTGCTGGGGTGGTGAGCCTTCTTGGCGAGGGCGTCCGCTGTCTCGTTTGCAAGTAGTTCCACATGAGACGGCTCGCACTGGAAAACAACGTCACACCCACTCGGCACAATGACTACGAACTTCCGCGCAAGCCGTTGCGCAACGAGGGCGCCGCGCTCTGCACGCGCGAGTGTCAGAAGGGCGGCACGGGAGTCACACATCACTGCTGCCGACTGCGGAAGGAAGTCAGCGAGTTGATTAGCCGCGGGATTAATCGAAGCAAGTTCAGCAGCAGTGGAAGACGCACTGATGGGAAGCCGGCAGTTCTCGCGGAGGCCGAGGGATGGGGCAAAACAAGAGGCTGCCGCCAAACCATTTCCTGCAACCGAGCCGTCTTGTAGAGTAGAATTCGTCCGGCGAGCCGTTCCTCGATCATCGTGAGAGCCTCCTGGTGGAGAGCAGACTGGGGTGTGTTTTTCTTCAACCTCGTGCCGGGGATTGTGGCCATGATCCCGAGGCCGGGATCCTGGTGTGGCGGGATCGGGAGCCAGCCACAATGAGGCTGTTCGGGCACCAGCGCAGAGTACTCCAAGGGGTGCTGACCCATGCTCGAGTGGCGACGGTCGAGGAGTCGTCCAGCCAGACGTCGTCCCTCGGGCGTGAGGTACATGCGATGAATGTGGTGCAACGAGCTGCCTCTCGCCTGAAGTGAGAGGGACGTCTCGCCAGCTTCCGTCAGGGTGGGGCCGATTGGCGACGAGCGCAGCAGGCCATGCAGGCGGCGTTGGACGCCGCGGTGAAGGGTGTCCAGCCCGTCTCATTGCGCTGGTCGTAGCACGACGAGCGGGACCGCGTAGAGAACCCTGGTCGAGGCTACCGCATTGAAGAACGGGAGCGCGATGTCCGGGGAGCAGCCCATGCCACTGGCGAGGATGCAGGAGCCCATGCCGCCAATCCTGCGCGAGCCGCTGCGAATGGAAGCCAGCGCGGGCGTCCAGCTGAGCCGGTGGTCGATGTTAAGACCAAGATAGCGCACTCTGCGCTTCCACAGCAGCCGGTGGCCGCGAAGGACGAGCTTCGGGACAGCTCCGAAACGTCCCGAGTGCTTCGGGTGGACGAGCATCGCCTCTGGCTTGGTGGCGTAGAGCTCGAGCCCGATTCCCGTGATGAAACCGTCCACTGCATCAATGGCAGCCTGGCGTCCCTCGCAAACTTGATGACCACGAAGGCTGGGGCCACTGTAGAAGAGCACCACCTCGTCGGCGTAAACAGCAGCACGCAATCCATAGGCAGTGCCTCGCGGGATGTGGTCGATGAGGCGTGCGAGAGCTGCGTTGAACAGAAAGGGCTCAACACCCTGCCCTGCGGCACACCCGCTGACACTACCCGAGGACCGCTGAGTTCACCGGTGACGCGCACACGGAAACACCGGTCACTGAGAAAAGCCTCAACATAACGCAGCATGTTCCCGCACACACGCATCTCACGAAGAGCGTCGAGAATGATGTTGTGTGGGAGTGAGTCAAAAGCACTTTTGACGTCGAAAAAAACGAGGTATCCCGCTTCCCCTCGGTGCTTGGCTTCCACAAGACGGCTCACGACGTCCGAGATCGAGTCCGCTGTCGCTCGATGGGCTCTGAAGCCGGACTGTTCAGCCGCAAGAGTATCAAGGGCAGAAGCGATCCACTGGAATTGCCGGAGTGCCATAGCCTAGAAAGTTTTCCCGCGGCCGAAGTGAGCGAAACGGATCGGTACGATGAAGGCTCGAACTCCAGCTTCCCCGTTTTGTAGACGGGAATCACCAAGGCTTTCCCCCAACGAGGATGGAAGTGCCCCAGGCTGGCATCCAAGTTTCGGAGCATATGATTTGTGATGCCATCACCCCCCGGAGCTGAGTGACGCCCCCGTGAGTCAAGCGCATCGCGAAGCTCCCGGATGCTGAAGTCGGCCGTGCACGGCTCACCGATCGCTTCCACGATGGCTGGTGTGGGGAAGAAGTGAAACGGCGCAAAGAGTTCAGGCCGTGCATGTGGCAGCAGCGCGGGCACAGGAAGAGCTGCACTAATAGTGGGCGCACTCGCGAAAGTGTCAGCCAGTAATTCGAAAAGTTGCGTGGTGCTGATGCCGAGCATTACCGCGATGGATAGCTCCGGATGCCGGGAGACACGAAGCAGAGGAGGGCTCGGATCACGCGCCAGGCATGCCACTGGTAGCGAGGGTCGTCGAAAGTGCGGCAGAGGCTGGACCAGCCACGATCCCGTTGTTTGTCGGCGTGGCGTCGACAGACCGCGTCGATGCGGTTGTAAACAGTTCAGTCCTCTGCCTTGTCCGAACGTTCCGCTCTGCGCTGCGCCCGGCGGCGAGCTGCGCGAAGGTTGAGGAGCTTAATGTCGGGCACTGGCGTGCCCGTCGGCAATCGTTACGCCGTCGTGGTGGCACTCGCGCACTGCACAATGTGTTGAAGAAAGTCGCCCGCGACTGGCAGCACACAGTTCGCGGAAACGGGGCCAGTTCACAACACTGTACACACTGGTGCGCGGAGCGCCGGTATAAAAGGGCTCGAAGAGGATTGGATAGTGATCCTAGCCCTCAGTGTCCAACGCGCAACGCTATGAGTAGAAGCATTCGTCCGTCACGAGGGTGAGGTCGAGTGCACTGCGCTCAGCACCGGGGTGCACAAAGGTGTGGCTGCCATCGTTGATTATGTGAAATCCAGCTCTCAGGGCAGCATTCATTAAGGCCCGGTCACTGGCTTTGATACTAACGCGCCCCCACGCAGTGTGACGAGAGTTGAAGTCCCCGCACAAGACGGAAGCACCCCCGAGGCAATCGGCGAGCCGCACAATAAACTGGGCGTCTCACTCGCGCGACTAGCGACATATCTCCGACCTCAGACTGCAGGGTATCACGAGTAACCACTACCGGCCATCAGCGTCGTGACTGCGTCGGAGCATTATTGTGTCCAAACACGGAAAAAAGAGCCCTCAAGTATCCACTTCTTTCCCTTATTCATTAACGAGGGTCTCGTGCTGGCAGACTTGGTGCCTCAGGTTGTATACGAGCGACAGTTGGTCAGCTGCCAGCCCGTAATAAGCTCACGTGCTAAGTGACGCCACAAAGGCTCATAAAAGAGTGTGCCACACTAACCGCCAAGGCTACAGATGAGGCTGACTGACACTCCCACGCTTAAATTCGCATATATACCCAATAAAGTGACTGGGAGGATAACCGCCGTGGTAGCTCAGTGGTAGAGCATCGAACTCGTTATTCGAAGGTCGCAAGTTGGGTTGCTGCCCAGGGCAAGTTATCTTTTCACCCACTTTGCTTTCTTCACATTTACCTGACAATTTGGCCTAATAACCTCCCCTATACTTGCCTTGACATTATTTTCTGTTTGGTGCCATTATTATTGTGTCCAAAAACGAGCCCTTGAGAATCCACTTCTTCACCATATATATATATATATATCCTGATGAAGGGAGGACCCCTCCCGAAACTGTTGGGACATAAATATATTTATCCTTGTTGACAACGCTCCCGTTGTGCCATATTCCATACCTTCACGAAGACTAACTGGCCCATTGAAATATTACTCCCACTATATATATATATATATATATATATATATATATATATATATATAAATATATATATATATATATATATATATATATATATAGTATAAAAAGAGGTCGACAAACGTGCGAAAAACACTAGTTTTACTAACGTTTCGGCAGGTGGGCCTGCCTTCGTCGGAGTGAATCATCCTCTCCGACGAAGGCAGGCCCACCTGCCGAAACGTTAGTAAAACTAGTGTTTTCGCACGTTTGTCGACCTCTTTTTATACTGCATTTTCCACCGGATCCATTGAATATCACCCCACCATATATATATATATATATATTTATATATATATTTATATATATATATATATATATATATATATTTATATATATATATATATATATACTTATCGGACATGATGGTGACAGCAAAATCATACAAGAGGGTTAACTAAAACAACATGATATACTACTACAGTCGCAGCCAGGAACGGCGCAACAAGTGTCGCTTGTGGGGCTACAACCAAGGCACCTGGGGATTGGATCAACATTAAACTTTCAGGCACACTTGGAGGAGTTGTCGTAATAAATAAAGTTGGAGGTGTTAAACTTAAGTGGCAATATTATTTAGGGTAGAAAGCTTTTAATGGCGACAAATAATTTTAAAAACGACCTTCCAGGTAGGTTTTACTGCCTTTATTTATACTAATAGCCATTCTTAATGGGTAGCTTGCAAATGAACTGTGGCTGCACGGTGCCAACAACCAGAAATAAAACAGCCTGCGTTCAGAGATGCTCACACAAATGGTTAACGGACATTTAGTTGTGAATGTAAAGCAAAACACCGACGCAAGCGAGTTGGTATGCCATATAATAGAGCCATATATACGCCATAGAATACGCTATATTAAAAGTAAGTAAGCACAACAAAAAAGCGCGTGAACAAAAAGACATTATTTACTTTGACGTGAGAAGTCTTCGTTACGTTTTACACTGGTATTTTCCACCTCACACTCTTTGTATTGTGTATTCTAGAGTGGAACATGCGAACAAGACTGCAGCTAGCAGTGACTGAGCAGCACTTATATTTATAAGAACTTCTATCATAGAAGTGGGTGGATGCAGGTGCAAAAAAATGTGCAGGTATTGTATGTCAATTTTTTTCAGACCTTCTCCAACACTTCATAATGTTACTCTTGTCGCTATTCATACATTTTCATTCTCTATCACACAGGATGTTACCGTGAAAAACAAAAGGTTAACGTCACAGCGCAGGTGGAAGGTGAATGTATTTAAAAACTACATTGAGAATTGTTGCCTGTCATCCGGCGGAAACTATTCACAGTAAACTTGACTCACTGCATATTTTAAGTTAAACCTTCCTCCTGTGTATCGCAGGCATGCTTTGGCTTAGGAACAAGCGTTTATCAGTATTGCATAGGTAATAAAGACATATAGAGGTTAACATGAGCAGTAATGACCAGCGAATACTAAACATCTCTTTAACTATCACTGCTTTCCTCATTCCCAAAAATATTATAATAAAAATGAAATTTTCGTGAACGTATGTTATTTGGATTGCTGCCCATAGAAAACGGTGTCGAAAATTAGAATTTGAAAATTTAACTGTTGTACAAAATTTGATGGTACTCATCTAAGTACTCTCTGTCAATGATTGGGAAACATGTTGAAGCAAGTGTGATTTTGTAGAGAAAAACACCGCAATTCTATCATCTCACTCTTTATTTACCACCCCACAATGGGTAGCGGCCCCCTGCTTGAGATAGGAGATTTTAATCTTATTTAGAGTCTCAAACCCCGTGGTGCCAAATGGCATCAGGAGGAAAATGGAATTATCTTGCTTTGCTTCACCGAACTTCTTAATGCCGGCGTATCAGTCACTGAACTGAAGCTGGGTCTTACGTGCCATTCACTGTCAGCTTTGAGGAGTAAGTACACTTTCTATGTTGAATTTGGAATCTCTTTAAGGTAAAGTCAGTCTCTGGAGACAGATTCCTTTCGCAGTATTCCCAGTATTGAAGAGTATTTTGAGCAAGTAAGAACATGAAAGCTTGCCAAAGCTTAGAGTATCAACTCGTATTTCCGGAGAAAAATTATGTAGTATGAGATACAGTATTGAATTCAATTAACGGATCTTTTTCTATGCATTAAAACTGTTTCTAGAATACCCAAGTGTCGAAAATTCATCTCAATCGACCAGCTCAAAATGCAGCAACAAATCAGCTATCTGTTTTGTTTGTATTGAATTTCCTGACCACGTAACTGGTCAAGCACTAAACGCCTACTGCTTTCGGCATTAGCAAAAAGTAGTAGAAATATTTATATGCTACTACTAGTAGCTAGCATGAGAAGGCAGCTAGCCAGGCACCCAGCTGAAAAGTGTTAGAAGCCTAATTGGTAACGCCGGTGTACACAAAAGGATATCTCGCACTTTTGAAGCCATTGTGACGGCCAGCAACAAATTATAGGAACGAAAGTACTTTTCATATCAGCTTTCGGGTGTTCGTAGTAAAATAAACTACTTTTTAAATGGTGTCGTTATGTCACAACTAAAATTGAACGCATTGAAAAACTAGTGCCCAGATTCATATACTATGGGTATTCGAGATGGTGCAGCGTCTAAGAGCTTTTAACGAAAGCAAACCTTGAAGAACCTTTACAGCGAAGAATAGTTTCCAAAATTAAATTCATTATTCTTCTGTCCCGAGATCGTTTCAAAACTCTTAAGTCACGCTATTTACGTCATCCTTTTCTGCACTCATCGAGAACTAACCACAGTATAGTAATCAGAGAACATTCAAGCCACATTATTATTCGCTACTATTCACTGTTTCCCTCGGCAATTGCTCAATTTAACATGTTGCCGGATAGTTTTGTGAT